CAATATAAGGTGACCCCTGGTCCCCCTACTGATGTACAATAAAAGTTATCCTTTTGTCCCCCATATGATGTATAATATAAGGTAACCTCTGGTCCCCCTACTGATGTACAATATAAGGTGTCCTCTGGTCCCCCTACTGATGTACAATATAAGGTGCTCTCTGGTCCCCCTACTGATGTACAGTATATGGTGTCCTCTAGTCCCCCTACTGATGTACAATATAAGGTGACCTCTAGTTCCCTACTGATGTACAATACAGGGTTACCTCTGGTCCCCCTATTGATATAAAGTGTAATATTAAATGTCCTCAGGTCCCCTACTGATATTCAATATAAGGTGACCGAAGGTCCCCTACTGATGTACAATATAAAGTGACCTCTGGTCCCCCTACTGAAGTACCCTACTGATGTTAAATATAAGGTGTCCTCTGGGTCCCCTACTGATGTACCCCTACTGATGTACAATATAAGGTGACCCCTAGTCCCCCTACCAATGTACGATATATGGTGTCCTCTGTTCCCCCTACTGATGTACAATATAAGGTGACCTCTTGTCCCCCTATTGATATACAATATAAGGTGACCTCTGGTCCCCCTACTGATGTACAATATAAGGTGCCCTCTGGTCCCCCTATTGATCTAAAGTGTTACATTAGATGTCCTCTGGTCCCCTACTGATGTACAATATAAAATGACCCCTAGTCCCCCTACCAATGTACGATACATGGTGTCCTCTGGTCCCCCTACTGATGTACAATATAAAGTTACCTCTGGTCCCCCTATTGATATACAATATAAGGTGACCTCTAGTCCCCCTACTGATGTCCCCTACTGATGTACAATATAAGGTGCCCTCTGGTCCCCCTATTGATCTAAAGTGTAATATTAGGTGTCCTCTGGTCCCCTACTGATGTTCAATATAAGATGACCACAGGTCCCCCTACTGATGTACAATTCAACATGACCTCTGGTCCCCCTACTGCTGTCCCCTACTGATGTACAATATAAGGTGTCCTCTGGGCCCCCTACTGATGTACAAATAAGATGAATTGGTCTCCCTACTGATTTAGAGTATAAGATAACTTTTGTTCCTCCTTCTTATGTAAAGTGCATTATAAGGTTTCCTCTGGTCCTACTGTTATTCAATTGAAGGTGACTTCTGGTCCCCCTACTTATGTACAATATAAGGTGATCTATATATATACCTATATATTGAAGTGTATTAATCGTAACTGCAATTAATTTTACTTCATGATAAAGTCACTTGCCAGTTTTCGCAATATTTTTTTCTTGTTTGATGCATATGGAGAATAATTAGTTTGCTGGGATTTGAATTCATGGATAAACATTATTATTAGAATGATTTTATGAGTACATTGCAAAATAATAAAACATGGTAGAGAAGAATTCATATTTTTATTCATATTCATATTTTTAGATAAACTGTACGAAACATGGACACAAATGACGATTGTGCAACTTGTTTGGAAAAATTAAGAAGACCACATTACTGCTTGCCATGTAAACATATGTTTTGTCGTGAATGCATTTCCATTTGGAGAGAAAAATCATGCCCGCTTTGTAGAGAACACATAAAGTCCCACAAGCCAGTTTCATTATTCACTATTGGTGAGTATTAATTTTGGCATTCCATTTTCACCTGCTAGTGACGCTTTCATCTTTCAGTTGATTCGATATGCACAGTCAAGAAACGATCTATATAGTTTTCGAATATGAGCAGACTACTGCCAAAATATGTTTCAAATCAAGGAATCCAACTATTTTTTTTTATTGTCAATATCCTGCAAATATTGTGATCATCACATTAATACTTATCTATAAAAGGGTTTTAACACAAGCAAAACTGTAACTATAAATGAACCGTATTTCCTTGATCAGAACATCAATGAAATTGGGAAAGCTAGACTAAGAAGAAGAAACAATCAAGGCTATTCATATATTGTACTTACTTTGCAAAAACTCATCACCGAACTTACCGATCGATTCGGGGCGTTTACTCTTGAAGGATACCTAATCCATCCCCCAGGTTTTGGGGGATCTTTGATTGCTTTGCCCTCAGTTATTTTTTTTTTATTTTGTAAAACAATGATAATTTCATATTTTATATACCGTTGTATGAATAGAATGTGAATTTAACCATTAAAAAGTAATGAAAACTGGTGACTGAAAGGCAGAAATCAGTCGGTCATCTTTCAGTGGATTGCAACATTTCATCTATGATAAATAATTAATTTTTCATAAACCTTATATCATTTTAATGTTCATTACAGGTATATCAGCTTGGAAGTCTCTCAACCACGCTAAAAGAAACATTCTGATTTGTCTCGTTCTGGCAACTGTCTTTATTTTCATCGACATTCCGAGTTCTACTGGACTCTTACGTTCCTTATTACACCCTGTTTTTGTGGATTTGCTGTGGATATTATTGGGAACATTGTGCATGCTGCTGACACTTATAACTATGATCCTAAAATGCACCTATAGACTGATTACTGAAATATTAGTGTTTGAGATTCAAAATATTCTTCCAACAATGTACAATATAGTAATGGATACCGGAAAACATGTAATTGATATACCAGTTTATTTCTATAAAGGATTAAGCATCTATTTCTGGGATAACAGCTGGTCTGCATTACTTCTGAAAACAGTTCATATTGGGGTTTTGACAATTTTTATGAATTCCGAGGCTCGATTGGAAATTATCAGACTATTTCAACGAATTCATCTGAGAGACAGAATTCGTAATGTGTTTCATTAAACATTATTTGATTTAAAGCACTTGCTTTGGTGAAAGTAGCCACCCTGCATTTTATCTACTAGTAGGCTTTTTTCTTTTAAATCTAAGAGGTTTATGCAATTCACGTTTGTACATGCATCATATGCATATCGTTTGGTTGCTGACAATAACAATTCTTTAGATCAGATTGATTATTTTGGTCAGTATTCAGAAAATCAAAATTATTATATATGTTCTCGCATGTTGTAGATCTGTCACCAATACATAATGAAATATAATATACATGTACTACATGTACAATGTAGTGTTTTTTGTATATTCAAAAGAAATGTCATAATGAAATATAAATTGCATAATTAGTGGTTCACCATTTGTTTTTCTTATTTCTTTTTCGTGACGTGACATATATGGAAATAAATACTGATAAGGCGTGTGTTGAAATAAAAATATATTTCATTATGGATATCATCAATCATTGCAGTTCCTGTAGTTATTACGACGTGGGCGATACCGAGTACCGGTACTTACGCATTAAGTTGATCACATCAATGTAATGATAATTTATGGTATTTTAAAATATAGCGCACCAAATTTCACTTTTTTTCTTGTGAAAAATTTATCTGAGCCGTTTAATAAAATATGATTATTTAAGGACAGACGAGACGTTCCTCAATGATATATAATTTTTCCCAAGATTTTGTTATTGGAAATTACTACTTCAACATTTTTTGTCACAAAAAATGAGATACCTTACCAGGCATTTGTGCGCGATACCAGATTCTGGCATTTCTTATATGATCCTTTAGGGGAAGAACACTTGCCAAAATCACATTTTTAGTGTTTCAAAATTTCACAAACAATTAGAAACAGGTTTAAAAATCAGGAAGTAATTAATTTTTTGTATATTTTTTTTTATACATGATGAATATATACAAAACAGAAATTTGGGGAACGTTTCGTCTGACCTTAATAACTATTGGTTATGAAAATGTTATATGCACATAAGTCCCACAAACCTGGTGAACCTTCTAGGGGTCATTATTTTTATGCATCCATAAACAATGATTTGGGTAATATAGATTTTGCCCTGTTTGATCAACCCTATTCCTAACTTTTGATTAACCGAAGCTATGACTTGTTGGACATTTTTTACCAGTGTTTTCCTTGTAAGAAGTCCTTTCTTTAGATAAAAAAAAATATTTGACCTCTTTACATTAGACATTGACCCATTTTTATAATAATGCTTAACTGTAGCAATGACATTTTAACAGTTAAAATGTGTTTGCACGCTCTCTGCTTGTGCTATAGCACTCGGATCTCCTCGGGTGGCTTGTACCTCGCACACTAAACTCGGACGAATGTGTTCTACTATTCTGCTGAGTCTGTCCTGTGGTCTTATTTGAATTTCATTCAAATGTTTTACTTTTGAAATCCGAGTTACTTTGATGCACGCTCAACACTGTGTTCTTGCATTGAAAGACTACTAACCTACGGTTGTAATTAACATGAGGAATTAGACAAATAAAGAAACCTTTTCGAAGAACTTTAGGCAGAGCGAAATATGAAATGAGTGACAAGGCAGTTTCTGGTGGAGAAATGTGTCGACTTAATGCGTATTACTCCACCTATCACATCCGACGTTTAAATGGAGCTTAGCAGAGTCAGCCGAGGATTGCCTATGAAAATAAACATGCTAATAATAAAAACAAAATAAAGATTTGTTCTCAATTCATGTTGATCATCCATTGTAGAATTAAGCTATGATTTTGATACACATGAATGATAGTGAATACGCATTATTCAAATGAAGACAATCAATGTAATTTTTTTTTCTCGAAAATTTCTGGTTGAAAGCCGTTTATGCTAAAGAATTATGAACTCAAAATGATTTAAATATCTAAAATTCATGGAAATGTTTTTTTCATGATATGAAAAAAAAAAAATCCTCAAATATCAGTAAAAAAAATTAATGCTTTTTGGGCTATATATTAAATATCAACGTATCAATTAAATTAAAAGCCCAAACCAAATTTGCATGAATTTCTGCTTTATCGGAAGTATCAAAAATAAATCCGGAAATCCTTTTTTCATCATGTATCGTGTTTCCTGAGTATTCCGAAGGGAAGAATATTCTTCTGATATTATAAAATGTAGTTTCCATCGGAAACAATTCTATAAGTACAGCATACATGAATATACTTATATATCATGTTTAGAGCTATAATAAAGTACTGTCGATGTCCTTTGTCGATGGATAAAAGAAAGATAAAAGTCTTAATTGGATGGTCACTGTTTCTTATAATTAACAAGCTAATATCCAGTGAGAGCCAATGCTTGAAAGACGAACCAAGGTGTGATTGTTCTATCAACAGGATAGATTGTATCAATAAATCCTTAAACAGAATCCCTTCAGGATTTCCATCCACAACTAAACAAATGTAAGTTCATTACTTGTTTTGTCGTTCTAGAAAAGGAGAAAACAAAATGTAATTGCATTATCATGTAATTACTTTTTAACAATAGTAAGTTCTGAGTATCTCAGAAAGACGGAAATTAAAGATAAACTTATCTCGATCTCGTAATTATTTTTGAAAACTTTTCGTTAATGAAATTAATTCATCACTGCATGATAAAATTTATCTTATGTAGACACCTGAATGACAATCAGATAACTGTTATACGAAGGGGCGAGTTGATCGGACTCCCTCTTCTTTCATCCGTGTAAGTATTTGTTAAATGAAATACGTATATTTAAGTTGTATATTAAAAAAAATAGAATATTCTCTGACTCGTATTTTATTCCAAAACACAAATTTCTTTGTTTCAGTAATTTTTACAACAACCATATATCCCACATTGAATCGAAGGCCTTTTATAATCTTTCCTTACTGGAAGATATGTAAGTACTAGTGATGCTTTAGGATTTTTGTTTGTTAGTTTTATATCAGTTTTGTGAGGAACCATTTTCACTTTTAATTTTAAAATGGACTCATCTGTTTGTTTTTTTTTTAACCTCACAGTGTTTTGAATAATAACAATTTGCAACAAATTCTTCGATGGACTTTTCTTGAGTTAAAAGTTTTGTTTGACATGTAAGTACTCTCTAAATGAAAAATAGAAATCAATAAAAGAAATTATTCTCTTTCTTTGTGATTTAGATTATCAGATCAGCACATGTTATGCTTTGTAATATAATAACTATTGTACATGAACTATAAAAAATTGTATAGGGTTTTCTTTTTTCAGATACTTACAAAACAACAACATATCTGTAATTCACAGGGAAGCATTTGTGTCACTGCCTAAACTCCGGTCAATGTAAACGCATAAAATAATGCTAAGTTTTATTCTTGGTTATATACTTATCATATTTTATTTTCTTTAACTCATATAATAATAAAATATAATAGATGGCATATATTCAGAATTGCAATATTAAACTATTGAAAAAAAATCTCATTTGCCTGTGTTTTTACACTGAACGTCTAAAATATTACAGAAAATGGCCAAATATGTCTATTCAAGGAAGTTTAATTAAAATGTCATGTTGATTATATTATATGTTCCGAAATAAATCTCAAACAAAAGTGTACATTTTTTTTAAATTTCAGATATCTTACAGGAAATGTCATTCATTGTACCTGTCTTATTGAGTGGTTCGCTCAATACCTCAACGCACACCCCATCATATCCCAGAGATCCGCCACACAATGTGCTTATCCACCTGACTTAGAGGGAAAGGAGGTTACTCTTGTGAACTTCACACGTTTGAACTGTGGTATACCTACTGTTATTATACTTTTATTACTTCTTTTTCGAAACCAAATTTAAAAGATCAGTTAGCTCTTTAAACTCTATTACAAATTTTTCAAGTAAAGCAAAGCTGTACCCTAGGCAAAAAATTGTACAATAAACACATAGTTTTAGAATATCAGCAATATCGTTTAAAATCATCATTTCGTAAGTTCTAAGGTCGACACAATGAACCTATCAGCAAATACAATTTGTCATAAACTCAAATGCTGAGTGACGTTTTTCATACTTATTGTTAGCCAAAAGCCATTATTTACATAATGAAATATCGACGGATTTTTTTTCGATCATGTAAAGGAACACACCGCGGGTGTGAGTGGTCAACAGGGAATGTTCAATTCCTGATGCTACCTTGATCCTTCTTATGAACCGTGTTTGTACTTGATATGTATTGTTGAATTGAATTTTGAGCTTGAATACTGTTCGTTATTTTCATACTTGTATATTTCAATTGTATTCAATGGAACTTATTTTAAGAATTTTTTTCCACGAATTATATTGTTCATGTTGCTTTTAGTTTTATTTTTACTACGTATACATGTACGCATGGATATGTACTTATACTGCTCTTCTTTATGTTGAATTAGGAATAAAGTAATGATATTATAATTGGCTGTCTTTTGATAATCAAAAATTTTATTTTACATGAGAGTCTTCGAAAAACTGTACTCTGTAAATTAATTAAATTCTTTAATAGATACACATTCCAGTATTGCTGTAAAGAGTTCTGGTGACTCAACGATACCAGCTTCTTATTATTGTAAGTATAATGCAGTAAATATGCCAGAGTGGAATATAATGATACGAGTATATTAAAAATAAAATGTTCCCCTATTTAAAAATGTTTTCTCAAAAAAGACTTTTTGAATGAGTTTTCTGACATTAAGACAATATATTTTCAAAATGTCCATTATCACAGTTTTAATATCAAGTTTCGTTATTTCCTTTAATAATGCTTTTTTTTAACAAAATCTCCCCTTTTATATACGAAAATAAGTTAAAATTAAATTTTTAGCTTTCTTATAAAATCTGAGTTTCATTTTTTTTTAAGAATAACATATTTTTTTTTTCACATAAAAGGCATTGGCTTTTTACCAAAATATATGTACCTGGTACAATGTATACATTACGATGCAATACTGTGTTCTTTATATTTCTCTAAATCCTAAATCGTAAAAAATGTTCAATAATGAAAAAAAATGTGTCATGGACTTACAGCGACATATCTACATGTAATGCAATATTACTATAAAATATATTACTATATTCTAAAACTTTTTATTGAAGGAGTTATTTCTCTTTGCTTTAATAATATGAGATGACTTGTCAATAAAGTTCTTTTGAAGTCACTGCAAATCATTTATCCGTTTCCTTTCTTAGTAGCTACAGGATTGGTTTTAGGAATGCTGATATCAACCGTCTCCTATATTCTCCTACGAAAAAGGTAACTTTATCAATAATGATTTCCTATAAAATTATAAAAAGTTTGTGAATGAAGGATATGGAGATAACGAACAGTATTCAATATCAAAGTCCATAAAAACAATACAAAATAGGAGCAGAGCAAACAGAGCAGAGCAAACACGGATCTCTAAAACATCAGAGGTGGGATCAGGTGCCTTGGAGGAGTGAGCATCCCCTGCTAACCGGTCACTACCGCCGTGTGCTCCTTGTTATGATCGGGAAAATCCGTCGTCAATTCAGTGCATGTATAAATAATGGACTAACAATTTGTATGAAAAATTTCAGCATTTGACTCGATGATAACTTGTATTTGCTGACAAGGTCATTGTACCAACCAAAGAACTTACAAAATGATGACTTTAATCGAGACTGCTGATATTCTTGTTTCATGAACTTGTTTGTCAGTAATTTAGCTCGTTTTAGAAATTGTTTATACGTAGAGCATGCTCTTGCATATCGAATCAACTGATATATTGAAACGCCGTGTGCAGGTGATGAAGGTATATTGCTGCATAAGTAAGGGAAGTTGGCAATAGAAAAGGTAATGTCATCACGTTTATCATAGAGCCTAGTTGTTAGATTACCATTAACGTCTTTTAGAAGTAAAATATCCAAGTATGAAACAGATGTACCAGACTATGTGGTATCTTACAAAACAATAAGACACAAAATACAGATAATCACAAGAAAAAGAAATATTCCATTTAGTAATGAGAAAATTCACTGAAAATTGAGGAATGGCATAACTCTCCATTAAGAAACGTTTCTAGACCTTTCAGTTTCCATTCAGTTGTACAATGGGTACAGTTTAATTCAATTCTGTGAACTTTGGTGACAGACCAATAAAGATTGCAAGGAAAGCTTTTGCCCTTACCAAATATAAACCTGTCTATAAAAATAATGGAACACAGAACACAGAAAAAAACTTTTTAAGGGTCCCAGAAAAATGCGCTAATGTGAAAAGTATTAGGTAAAGTTTTAAAGAACTTATGAAACTGAAAAAGACACATTCATTGATTCTTTCAAAACTCAAGGAAATCATTCATTTTTTTCTCGTTCTTTGTCAGCTTTTCCCCTGTGTGGTTTTACTTTAATTACATTAATGGTAGTTGGAACCGCTTACATCTGTTGTTAATGTCCCTGGCTTACTTATGCATATTAGGAAGGTACCGTCTAGTAGAACTCAACAAACTTATTCTCAGAGACTTATCATTATATCTCTATCATAAGGAATCATTTTAAAATGTAAGGAGTCTTTAATGAGATTTTTTAACTTTCAATCTCGTGTCTTATAGAAAACATTCTAGATGCAATGGTCCCATCAATGAAGAAGAGGTAGACTCCCCTGTGATATTTACAACTGGATGTCAGATGTCATCCCTCTCCTCATTACGGGATCTGGTGGACTCTTCAATGGACAACGTGACGTATTACAGCCATAACAGTGGCTTCTCTGGAGACTTGGAGGAGGATCCAACCTGCTTCGCCAGCGGGTATGAAACGTGCAGTGGGTCTCCTGTTTCTGGCCACAGATACAGTCGGATTCAACGTGTGAATAGCGATTACGAAGATATTGCTAATGTTTGTCGAGGTATACTGCATTACTTTTTTGTTTCGTGTTTCCTATGTTTTAGGTAATTATCTTTATCTAAAATAAATGATAGTGAGAGTGAGAGAGGAAAAGAAAGACAGACACGTGCAGAGACGGAGAAAAAGAGACATTATGTAATTTGTCAGCTTTTCCCCATTTCTACTTTTCAGAGAGCAAGTCCACACAGACACAGATTTACAGAAGACCAACTGTATAGCTTGTTCAGATGAAATGAAAACACGAAAAAGAACACTTTCATAATGAATTCTTTGTTGATATGCAATCAAAAGCGAAACAATAAAAAAATCTTTTACAGGTAAATGAGTGTGTGGAAGACAATGATAGACATAAAGCTTTAATTCTCAACAACAGCATGTCTCTGCTATCTATGCCTTATATTGTTTGTGAACTCAGGGAGTTTTATTCATTTTGTCTATTAAAATCTGTAACTTGAGTATTAAAAATATTCATATTGCATATTTTATTTTCGAAGACACATGAATGATGTATGTAAGAAAATAATAAAAACTGTTTATTAAAACGTCGGCGAAACATCGAGTTAAAGGTCGCGGCATGAGTTTCTTCTACTTATGTAGATTTTTTTTAATAAAATTAAAGGAATATAAGAATTAAACATGCTGGCAGCCATTTGGATTTCTAAAACTTCCTTACACATCTTTTCTGCAGACTACATAAATGTTGTCAATAAAGAACTCCACATTCTTTGATATCGACTTCAGAGTTGTTGTCTGGAAAATTACAGTGATTTTGAACAAAGTAATTTTTTGGTGAACAATCACAAGACATAATCAAAGTACTGAAAGTACTCATGGGAGTTGAACATTGCTATCTGAAAGATCTCACAGGAAGTATAGGAAGAGTTTCGTGCTTTCAGATTCAAGTCAGCTAGAACTGATTTGTTAGAGATACAACACATTACGAAACATTAAAAATAATTTCTATTGCATTTGAATAGCCAAGATTATGGGACTGCTCTTAAATTAGCTGCAGAACTGTAGCTGTCCAAAAAAAATTTTGACAGACCGGAGAGCTATAGTGCCATCCATTGAAAAAAACTGTATATTTATTGCGCACGAAGAGTTAAGTTTAGTTCTGGATTTAATCTTTCTAATTCTTACCTCAACAATTTGACCAAACCAAACAAACAACCCCCACCACCAAAAAAAAAAAAATTTCCAAACTCGAAAATACTATTTTGTGGGTAGGTTTCAAATTTCTTTCTGTACCATTTCTTACTCAAACTCAAACACAAACCTTATATTTCTGAAGCATTTGAATCAAAACGCCACTACTCTCTTTAGAATGTGTACAAGATATTTGGTCCCAAGAAAGAAACAAACAAACACTCTTTATATTCGATGTTACCATCACCAGACACTAGATTGTCATTTTTCTTCCTCTGATTAGAATAAGTATTTGCTATTCTCTTTTGGGTATGAATGTTTCTTTTCGGACATAATAATTAATTTTTATATAAAACTCCGGCCTTATCTATTTTATCAAATGTATCTATCTTTATAACTTAATCATCAAGTTTTGTTATTCCATAATTTTAAATTTTATTTCAAGTAATTTCTATATAGAAGTAAGTATCTGAATACTTTACATTTTGTTTGTTTTGCGTTCGATAATTTTTCAATTATATTGAGAAACTACCACTTGTCGATGGAGCTAGCTACATGTAAGTCTACAAATTTTTACCTATACACGGCACTCAAAACCATTAAGTAGTGAGGGATCGTTTTGTGCAAGCACATACTGCGACATTGGATTTCAGTTTATATGGTCTCATCAAAAGAGTTCATCTCCAAATGCATCCCACAGGATTCGAACCTGCGACGTAAGGATCAATTAACACCCTACTTTGAATCCCTAGAGCAAACTCTTTTAACAACTGTGCCACGCGAGTGACATTTAAAGTTTGTGATTTTGATTTGATTCAAATGTTATTAAAAATCAGACATAGTTTAACGAGATACTACAAGGAAAAAAACAGTTGTAATCATGAGGAACGATCTTTCTCACAGATCGATATCATTGGGATTATTATACAGTACCATGCATACGCATGTATTCATTAATTTTAACTGTTTTAATTATATAATAAAATCAAATGATACGTTTTATAAGGTAATACTGCAATGCAAGTACATACACATTTTTCAAGTTCAGATTTGGTGTTGTACACGTGACCAACTGAATGCTGATAAACTCATGAAATAAAGGATGAAAATTTAATGTCATTTGAAATTGTGAGATTCGAATGTCAACAAACTTTAATGCTATTATTTTTTCCCTTTACCCACGTAAAAAAATGAGTTGCATGTATCTGGTCTGACAAACATTTTCCAGTCTAACAGATCATTATACTTGTCAGAGCAAATAAATGTCTGACAGTGATATTTTCCGTAGTATTTTTTTTTAAAGAAAATAACGTTGTTCTGCCTCCTTTTTGCTAAAACAAATTGAAAGAAGTTCGGTTAAACCTTAGCGTTCCTTTGACCTTACATCTTTGTTTACATCTGTATATTTAGACAATCGCGTCATTGTCAAACCAGTTAGACCAGTTGTTGCTCCTTTGATGACCTCGCACTTTTTGTAATGCGGCGTAGTGGAGTCAGCCGAGGATTGCCGAATGATAAATGATACATGACGGGACCTTTTCTTCATACGGAAATAAAAATTTACGAGTTATTTCTCAAGATAGATGACAAAAATACGCTTTTCAAATTAAATTAAATAAAATTCATTTTTATTTACTTTCAAATCATTTATGAAAATTATATTAATTCAGAAAAATGAGATGGACTATGCGGAAGCTTCTGTCATGTTGTAAATTTTGAATCTACCGGGTGTTGTCATGTTGTAAATTTTGTATTTACTGCCACCCGGTAAATTCAAAATTTACAACATGACACTTCTTCGAGTTTATATAGACTGGTGCGAGTTTGTATTGAATATCACAGGGGAGTAAATTGGGCGACACAGAAACACCACGACAGCCGCTATATAATTCATTGTAAAATTACTGCGCTAGAAACCGCGTGACAACCTAGGGAGTCTGAACATAGTTCAACTCCCAAAAATCTCTATTTGCCTTTTTTGAGGTGAAGGGGTGGGGCGGGGGGGGGGGGGGGGAGGGTTGAGACAGTACTTGTCTAAGATATCAAACAGTCACGGAAAAAGGCGTCTGAGGAGATGATGATACACCAGGTCGTGTAATTTTCATTATAATATTAACATGGAGGTCAGAATGCGAATTTTTAAAACGGCCTAAATCAGTCTAAATGGCTGTTGGGAATTATTGGAAATAACAATGTAAATAAGTTAACAAGATAATAAGCAAGATGTCTAATTAGCAAATATGATCCCAAATCCAGTTAAAAAAAAGAACAAAAATGAGACATCTGTACAAATGCGACACTATAAATCTAAGTTTTGTGCGATAATTATCGATTTGTAGCTTTCTGGTTTGACTGTACGATATTTTTCAAAGAAAAGAGCAACTATGCTGCGACAAAATGAATAGCAAAGTCTTAATAAAAAGAGTATTCAGACTCACGAAACGTAAATTATATTTTCCATACATACATGTAACCATATTATAATGACTTGTTTTACAATGGGAAATTATGGATGATTTATCGACTTCAATTATAGTAATTACATTAATATTTTTAGACAAAACACGTAAAATTCATACAGGTGTATACACTGTACAATGTACATGTGGAAAGAATAAGATCCATAAACACTCAAATGTTATAACTATTTATTTGACTATTTAACGAGCTACGGTACATTTTATTCAATACATGAAACAAGAGTAGAAATCAACCAATTGCACACAATTTTAGACGGATCCAAAGTTAAACACCGCCCCTAAGATTTTCATAATCAAAATCATCCGAGTCAGAATCATCAAGTTTTTCTCTGACATTCTCATAATCATCTTCATCAAGGTCTTCGATATCTTCGTATCCATGGGAACTTGGTTCCTCCTGAATTGAAACATTTCCTAATTTCGCTTTATACCGAGATCGCTTTTGTTTCATGGACTGTTGTCCTTTGCTTGCCATTTCTATGTCTACTATTTGTCGAGTACTTGAGAATTCGTCTGGATTCATCTTTATTTCCCCCGTACAGCAGCACCTTCAGGTAAATAAAGAAATCAGTTAGTGAGACGGGTAAATTCTGTTCTTCAGAAGGGGTCAATAACACACAATTTAAAGGGATGCATCTATAGGGTGAACCGACGAAAAGTGCCCTCACCTTCATAGACTATTGACCGAGGGGTAATTTTTCTACACCTGAGTTTGATATCCAAGTCAATATTATACGGGGGTGACATTCCGTCGTTACATGGGCATAGAGGCATGCCACCCACCCATACTTGTACTGGCATAGTAGTTACTCCTTCACATCTTAATTTTGATGATGTAATTCAATCGATAGGAAATTCAGACTTATTTACATCTTTCTTAATCTATACGTATGGTATGAGACAGCATTCTTAATAATTCATACTAGGTTTAGACTTCAGATCATTCTTGTTTTTTTTTTTTGGCACTAATTTTTCGAAATCGACCTATAATTACGTACTTCTGATCAGGACTTTGCATTTAATTCATGAATATGGATATTTTGTGTATCATTAAATCTTTCTGCAAATCAAGTTTATGAAATATCGGCAAACCTTTCCATAAGAATAAACCAGTCTGAAATTTCTGATCATTTCCCCGCCATAAGAAGTGTCTACTGCTCATTTTGACCAGGTTTAATGACATCCTATTACACCAATAGTATTCAATTACGCCTTGCTGATAACGCTTAAACCTGAGGCTCTGCTTAAAAATTCAAAATGGGAAATCGAGGCTGAATACGTATTTTTGTTTCTAAAAGATCGAAGACAAAATAATAGAAAAAAGACACAAACAAGGATTTCTGTCTTTTGATATCTGTTCAAAACTCCTAGTAATGAGTGTAATTTTCAGTCTTAGAACATCTCATGAAACGTTAATTAATTAATGAAGATTTAAAAATTATATTGGGAAATTATTTTCAAGAAAGGGACTTTGTATCTACGATCAATATATTGACTGTTTACAGTCAATTTTAGGCGTTAGCTTTACCACAGAAAAAAAAATGATCAAAAATTCTATAATGCAACAAAAGTTTGTTGTCATGTTTCTTATATCTATCTTGAAAATTATCTGATTTCCTTATTAAGGTCATAATTGATACAACTGTTGAATTAATGCCATAACTGACGCGATCCACCCAAATAAAAGAGGAGACGGATTCGTCTATTAAACAAGGAAGTACAAATCATCAAGGACAACATTTTCATGCACTGACGTGAAAATGGGATACATGATTGCAATTTTATGCCTGGTAACTAGATAAAAGTAATCCATGTTTAAAACATCTTGTCAACGTCGGCATTAAGCATATTACCTTTGATAAACGACTACACAACATTCTCTAGCGAGTTTAACCATTGCATTTGGGAAATTAAGTACAGATGGCAAAAAATGTGCCTGAATAGGTATACTCAGTACACAATATACATTGTAATATTGGAAATATGTTGTACAATAAAAATAAATTTAAAAAAAAATTGAATTGAGAAACCTTCAAAGATGTTCAAAATTCTGCTTTTCTGCAGCTATTCTGGCAATTATTTACAACTGGTCATCACTTCAATTCCCATTATTTAGAAATTTTGAACAAAAAACTAAAAACTGTGTGGTTAAAACTATAAATTTTTCTTTATATAAAAATGACTCAAGTATTGATAATTTTTTTTATATAAGTTTCCTTTTAATATGCATCTTCCGTCTTTTACAAAGTCTCAAATTTGATTGATTCATTATAAATTGTTTTTAATATAACTCATCTTGAAATGATTACTATAACACGATTGAAATAATAAGACATAAGCTGCAATAGTCATCCATGACGTAATCTACATCTATCAAATAAATTTTAAAAATAGAAGCATCTTTAAAAAAAAAATTTCACTGGAGAAAAAATTTTTTCTCAGTAAACAAAGATACCTTGTTATAGTAGAGAGAGAGAAAAAAAATAAATTTCATCGATTTTTCAAGCATTTTTAGGATCAGATTTACAGATAAAATGAAAATGAATCATTGACAAATACATGCAAGGATTTTGTCTTCTTTGTTTGTATCAAATGATAGATTTTAAAATTTAATGGAGTAGGGAAACAATTGTGACATGTAAATGAAACTAAGACATAAAAAGAGTCTCTATATCTCTAAGTTAAAGCTTTGCCTATCACTAGCTAGAAAACACAAGATTACTATATGTATCATTATCATCAAATACTGTTTGATATTTTGTAATTTGATTAAAAAAACAATAATTGACTATAATTTTTATATGAAGTCTTTGTTCGTTTGAGGGGATCATTTTAATATGAAGTCTTTATTCCGTTTGTTGGGATACTTCTCAATCATCGTAATCTCTTGAAAATATATTGAAAAAAAGAATAAGCAGAAAACGAGAAGTGCAATCTCTTTCTGATCACTCATTTTAAGAAAAAAATATTCAAAGCTAACCAAAACAGCTATCGATTTTCGTTAAATCTTGTTTGTCCTTAATGTGGAAATAAGTCCCTCTTATTATGAAATAATGGCCGCTATCGGTCCTTTGTATTGCAGTCACTCATCAAATATAAATACACCGGATCAATCATTTTAAAATTACTGGACCAGCTTGATTGTAGATTAGTGTATCATTGTCCTTGCTTTTATCTTATGCACGGAGCAAAAAAAAAACTGTTCAAATTATAGTTCGTTTGCATGCATTAGCATTGATTAATTTTGTTTTACCTTATCCATATAAAAAGCCACATTGGGAATATCAAAATCCTCTGTAAAATCGTTGGAGGAGGGGGTGGTTAATTATAAAAGAAATGACTTTTATAATCGAAAACTGATAATTAAACAGAATAGAGTTTCTTTCAAAAATGAAAGGAAAAATGAAATCTCAAGACAAGAAACAATGAGAAAATAGTAATTAATCTAATAAATAGTATCACATGAAAAAAAAAAAACTGTGTCGTTCAGTTAACTGAAATTTACTGAATGACAGAGTTGTGCTATTTAGACACATTTCAAGACCTTTCAGTTACCATTCAGTTCAGTGCAGAAAACGTGCAGATTCATCCTGCTTTTAAGAGTAAGTGTCAATCAGTTTGACAAAATCCAATGTGAAGAATACGTACCTCCGTAAACATATTATCATTCTAACAAAGGCACAGAGTAGAACCCCGAAGACGACAACAGCGAGGCCGAGGTACACACTGAAGGGAAAGGGAAAAGAAAAGTAGGATGCGTAGTCCGTAAACTGTGTGAAGGACAGTAATGCTGAAAAGAGGAACAGAAATTAACGTCATTTTGATTGATAATAAAAATATATAAAATACCATAGAAAATTTTAATCTGCAAAAGACAAGCAATACATGTATGTTCAGCTAGACATTTAATTTCTTGTCAATGACAACTTTGGACATATTGGTAACATTCAAATTCCCAAACAACAAAGCATTATAATACATGTGATAACGTTAACTTTTCATACGTCACGTTTGCTAACATCTACAGCAATATACCTTCATACATGTAACCTGCATACGGTGTTTACATGGCTCTGTTGGTTTGATACGTAAAAGCATGTTCTACGTATGAACAATTTCTAAAACGAGGTAAGTTATTGAGAAACAAGTTGATGAAACAAGAATATCAGCTGTCTCATTTAAAGTCATCATTTCGTAAGTTTTAAGGTCGAGCGATGAAATGACCCCGTCAGCAAATACAACCAGTCATAAGTCAAATAGTGACTGACGTTTTTCATACTAATTGTCAGTACATTATCTATACATGAATTGTCGACGGATTTTACCGTTATTTCCCGATCATGACAAGAAGCACAAGGAGGGTGTTACCGGTCGGTAAGGGATGCTCACTCCACTATGGCCTCTGATCCTACCTTTAATGTTTTAGAGGTCCGTGTTTGCTCTGCTCGTTGTTTATTTTCTTTGATGGACTTTTGAGCTTGAATACTACCTGTTATCTACACATGCTTCATGCATTAGACTTCAACCGATTTACCTATTTCCCAGGCGCCAACTGATACATTCATCAACCTTATATTCTTGTTTTGTTTGTGTTTTTACTATTTATTTGAACAAAACAAAACTCATTCTAGATTTTAAAAAATTCTTATTTTAACAATGAATGTTTATATATAAAGGGTTTTTCGGCAAACAAGTCCTAACTTTGCAGTTTCAGTATAAAATTAAACAGAATTAATCACGTTAATTTTATTTTTTATTTTAATCAGCAAACTTATTTTTTTTTTTTTGTCTCTGAAATGTTGCTTAAATGTTGTTATCATTCTTTTAAAAGTCTACTTCCTAGGAAGACGGAACTCATGTGTACGACTACTTTTTTTTTCTCAGTCTGATGCACTAATGCAGATAATATTAGTGTTTTGGCGATTTTCTACAGAACGGTTTAGTTAAAAAAAATAATCCATAGAGATCCATTTAGCAACCCGACTTTTTGCTGATGTAAATAAACATGTAAATGAAAAAAAAAATGTAATTACCTTATTTTATATTGTTTATGTTATAAAATGCAATAATAATTCTATAAAATACCTCACAAATATCTTGCAATAATATCCCCGAAAATTGGGACACTTAGTCAAGAGAACTTGTTTACTCTTTAAATTTATGCGTGTCTGAGATGCTTAGTTTGTATTTAGCTGTTGCTAATGAACAAAAGTCACCCGCTGAGTGTCTCGATGTTTTTATACACAATTACAAAAACTTCCTGTTCATGGCAACAATATAGTATTGACACACACTTCGCAAATCCTTCTTCATTGTCTCATCATTGTTTCCTGCATGTAAAATTATATTCACCCTATGGGCCTAGTAGCTGTAGTCTGTCTATATCAAAAAGCTAGATTGTCTTAGTGGTATAATCCCATTTTGTCTTGTTATTTCTTTATATGATTTCGTGGAGGTAGAAAATTAGAAATATGAAATATCAGATAGGTTTTTATTTTGTGTTGAAAGCTAATTAGTACAGAGAATCCCGAGAAGAGATGTTTCTCAAAAGAGAGCAACGTGAAATGAAAGGATTAGATGAGCAATGTATCATGAGACCGGTCTATTGATACAACAGCTAGCATTGAACTTATTGCATTCCGTGAGCTTGAATGTATGATTAAATGTGAATCTCCTAAAGGCAATGCTCTTTTTGAAAAAAAGTGTTATTATTATTAAACATCATCAGCTAGTTTTTTGTGATTTAATTCCATATACATGTACTTGCAGATATCATTTATTATGTACTAACTGTTGGAGACTATTCTATACCAATTTATTTTTAATCCAAGGATTTTAAGTATGACATGCATAAAACGCTCCCCTTAATAGACGAATGATATATACGAGCCAATGCACCCAACCATTCACCTCCTCTCCCCACTATTAACTCTGATATTTCAATAATTACAGCAGGTTAAAGTGAACAAGAACCAGCTTACCTGACATCGTGTTTATCTTTATATGTACAATCATGTAATAGTTCCGGCTTCTCTAAGGCGGAAGGAAGGGGAGACGGTCATCACACACTTAGAAACCCTTGAGATGATAGCATTAATGTACCATCAGATTAATGCATGTTCTGAGTTTCTACATGTGGCTTTTTCAATTAAGCATGCATTTAATAGACGCAAGTAGAAAAGTACATGTATATTAGGCGATGCTGTTTCCTTTTTCCTCACATCCCTATATATGGTTGTGTTATTCATTAAGGAAACTGAGGATATTACAATAATTAAAAGTGAACTTTGCTTAAAGCATTATCAAATGTATAATGCAAATCTTAAAAATGTTACAGTAAAAGACGAAAAAGAAATAGATTTTTAAAATAATATTTGTACGCTTGAAGTACATACTGCTCAGCTCTCAAGAAGGAAGAAAAATCTTGTTCCCAACCATAATAAAGGTACATGTAAAATGTAACTTCAGAGATAATTTTTCATCTCAGATGTCAAGTATTGATAACAATAATCATTCTGTCGATATTCAAATTGAAAACATCCAGCCGAGGGAAAAAATTACATTATAGAGAGGGGACCCAACTAACAAAAAAAAAAAAAATTTTAAATTACCTATATTTTTGAAATTTTCTTTTCACGTTAAAATCTTTTTTGACTAGGTACATGTAGAATTTTTAGTAAAACTAGTTATATCATAAATACAATTGATACCTCCACATAAAATTAGTTTGTTTGCTTGCTGTGAAACGTCGTCCTTTTTGAAGTTTTTTTTTCAGTCATACGGTGACACCCATACTTTCCGGTGGAGGGCTGCAAAGTTTTAGCTACCTTCGTCTTCAAAGCCATTAAGCTTTGAGGGATCTTCTTCGTGCCAACAACTTCTAGTTCACAGAACCTCAGTTTACGCGGTCTCGTCCGAATGACCTGTCTCTTTTCGAATTCGCAACGCAAAGATCAGCTTCTTGATATCAACTTCCAAAAAAAAAAATGAAAACAAGATACAGGTACCTTGACAAAGAAGTTCAAAAGAAAATATTGAAAGGAATCAAGGGGCATGCACATTGATTTTCTCTTAAACACTGAATTCTACTGAATGCTACTTAGGAGGTTCGATCCTGAGCTTTTGAGCAGATTTTGGTCTGGACCTTTATTTCTAAAATTCTACATCTTTTCTGAGCTCTAACATTAAATCGAAATTCTACAATGTAAATTACACTATATTCAATGACAAAAACTGCGATGAAATTTCGTTCGAGTACGATTAAGCCAGGAGCTATATTTTGTGGTGGAAGATTTTTTTTTAAGAAAATGATCAATGTTCCTCTTTTTAGCTATATACAGTACACTGTACTGTTAATTTTAGATTCCTATTTTTTTTTCCATGCTGTTTGTACACAAAGCTATTTTTGCAGGATAATGTGGTGTGTTGGTTCTGAAATATCTATTAAATTATTTTTATGAGTTTGTCAACAAATTGGGGCAAATATAGTAAATGTATTCTGAAAGTAAAAAAAGAGCTAATTTTAACATAAAGTTCACATTTTTTAAGTAATATTCAAAAATTTATATAATAAACCCCCACTTTTTATGTTCATTTCTAAATATTTAAGATAATGTTAACCTATCTGCTTAAATTCGGCAAACGTTTAAGACTTTAAAATTAATTTTCTAAGTTGCTTATTAAATTTTCAATGCCAAAAAAAAATCACATTTTGTGAGTGCAGAAAGGTCAAATAATTGATTTTGAGAAGCAATTTGAAACATTTCTTAGTCACATTTTTAAACAGACTTCTAGTTTATTTTGTTCCATGCTTTATTTGGACAAAAAAATATTGGACGGAATACGTTGAAGATGTAATTTTTGATTAAGACACAAATTTCAGTGAAGCCAACCTCGTTCACTGACAAATAATTCTGAATGCAGCCCTTCATGAAATCTGTGCCTTCACCCTTAACCAACTGCATGGTTCCTATGGAGCTCTTTAAAAAAAATTTTCAAATGTATCATACAGTCATTATCTAACAATGTATAGAGAATAATACATACCCTCTTCCAGATCACATCCTGTATCGGCCCGAGACACCATAACCAGTCAGAGGGCCGAAAGCCCATGAGATCATATTGGTAGAGGGCTGATACAGGATGTGATGTGGAAGAGGGAATGTTTTATGATGTTTATTACATACTTAGTAATAAAATATAAAACACATCAGCTTGAGAAAAAAATAGTCATGCATGGACTTCTGACATGTACATAGCTAATTGTCTCTCACTGTTTGGGTTTCCATGGTTATATTTACTTCTAAATTGTTGTAAACAGTAATTTCAATTTTCAAAAACATGTACATGTATTAAACCACATAATATAAGATTTTTAAGCTCCCGATCCGTAGTTTGAAACAATCGTTTGTTAATTAGATTATCCTTACAAATTAAGAGCATCCCCCATAAAAAATATGTATATCATCACAAAACTGTTTAATTTAGAGTGCTTCAACTTACTAGGGGGTGATATTGATCCGTATCAGCCCGGCAGATCCATATCAATCCTGTGAGCCTGATACGGCTATTGTTATGTCAGGTATGTCGCATATATGCAAAAATCCTGTATTTATTACTAGGTATGTAACTTTTAATTACATGCTTATGGACATGGATATAGACCTGCAGGGCTGATACGGATCAATATCTCACACCTGGTAAATTAAAACTTCAAAAACAATACTTGTGATATAAAAACACATTTTTAGTTCACATTCTCCTAATCTTGAATAAGTGTTCTTTGATAAGCTACTTTGATACAGTAAACAACGTCATGTCAGTAGTCAGCATGATTTTTTTTCTCAAGTTGCTGTGTGCTGGATTTTATTACTAAGTTTATGATAAACATAATAAAACATTCCTTTTTCCTCATCACTTCCTGTTTAGCCCTCGACCAATATCATCCCATGGACCTTCGGCCCTATGGCTGGTATTGGTGTCTCTAACTGATACAGGATATCATGTGGAAAAGGCTTATAAAATGTATTATTCTCTATAAATTGTCCAGTGTAAATGAATCTATATGGTCAATACGGATAAAGAAATCAACTAATTGCAGAAAA